ATTACAAGAAACGAAAAATTAAGACTGGTAGTTTAGAAATATACTCACTTGATATATTCGTTTACTTATATAAATCACAAATAGTCTGTTCCCGCAATGTTTGCGCATTTTTTGGTTTAGTTTAACGTGGGGTGTATCTATGCGATGTTCATGAATAATTTGAGATGTTGGAGCCCTAACCAGGTTCTCAGATAAAGCCATATTTACTGACTCACATTTCTCTGTCGCCTCTCCGATTTATTTACCTACTGAGGCTAGTTTCGGCTCATTTTACGCACATATTCATTCAATTTCCATTATCGGTAATTTTAAATGTATTTTATATTGGTTTCAAGTTCTTCCTGGAAGGTTTCTATATCTAGCAACGACTCTTGTTTTTAGACTACTCGCTTAGTAGAAATTGGCTAAACTGCCATAATTTTGATTAGTTGTATGTTGCAAATTTTGCAGGAACAATCTTTGGCAGAGCAAATTTTGAGTAGGTATGGAAGGCAGAATGGATCACCGAGAAAAAGGAGACTTTATTCGCCTCAAGTATGGTCACGGTTCTTACGCTATATTTTAATCGACCATTGGATACACAAGAGGATTGTGTAACGGCTTATTTGCAAATCTGTTCTAACTAACTATTCTTAGTATTGAAATATCCCATAAAATGAGCTAAGATTAAGTTTACGGTTGCTGTTGAGGTATATATTCGAAGAAAACTATAGCACCAAGGGTATTACAACGATTTTTTTGCACAATAATAAATTTAAACCATTCACTAGTAACTTTGTGTCAAAAATATTCGTGAAAACCTTATGAACATGAAGATTTATTGTGTAACTGCCACAATTAATTTGTAAGATCTTCCTATTTTGTATAAAATATTGCCATTTTATTTACTTATTGCTCATATTTTGTCTACTTTATTTTTATAAGGTGTCTACATAACATCAGAACCTCATCTTTTAGAATTTTCCTTTTAACCCTTAGTTTAGACAGATTTAGAGAAATGGGTTGCACGCCAGACTTGATTTCCGAAGTAATAAATGCTTCTCTTATTTGGTCTTCAGGATGTGGTGATATAAAGAATGCAAGGAAGTATTTTGCTTTAAACTCATATTAATTTCCTTATTATCTATTATGTAAGAATAGGCCATTAATTTATTGGTCCCTCAGGAAATTTTAGTCATATAATTTTCTATTTTGCAGCTATGGATTTATTAAATTTCGTGAATTAAACAGTCATTTCTAGGTTTTTTTAACAAGCAGCTAGACCGGTCTTAATCACTTTAAAATAGCTTCATATTTGAAAT